AAAACCAAAACTGGCAAATAAGACGGAATTGTTTTCTGTCAATGCCATTGTCACAGAGTTTACTTCTTTTCCAAGTGTGCTTCACGATCATCTGTTCCATATTTCTAGCTTTCACACCAATGAAAAAGTCTATTATAAAAGAAAGCACAGAATTCAGTGAATCAAGTCCTACTACAGTTAACTCTGCTATCTTCCTTATCATTAGAATGGTATTTAACATATGAGCAATTCATTCAAACACACCATACAAACAAGTCCTTCAATATCTTTTTTTTATTTTCATTTTTTTTTTTTTTTTTTGCAATACAATTTTTTTCCATAATACCACACAGACAGGAATAAATTACAGTACAATTTCATGCATCAATGAAAGTAGATGAAGAACACCAAGTGATTTCACATTCAGTCATCTGTTACCTACAAAGACTGATGAATCAGACGACCTGATGCCAATTTACTTAACAAGCATTTGCATTCAAATTCCTTCCTTTCAGTTGTGTATTAAAAAAATATGAAATGAAAATAAATAAAAAGAATAAAAATAAAAATGGTACGAAATATCTAGACCTGACATAGAATGAGATTACGAGGTATATAACCTTGAAAAGGAAAGTGAGAGAGAGAAAAAAAATCACATGAACAGTTTCTCATCTGTTCAAACCTAAAATTATACATTTCATAAAACATTACAGTATCAGGACCATCTTGCTCATTTCTTTAGAAATATGGTCTTCACTATTTTTCTTCTATAAGAACATATAAAAAAAAAAGGCTGGGAAGAGGGAAGGCATAAGCAAATACAAAATGTCTAACATAAATTTCCTAAATAATTAAGAAATCATTAGCATAAACTTTTTAATCTTTTCTTTTTCTTCTTTTACTCATAGTCAAAACAAATCCATCTTCCCAAAATGAGCCTCAGAAACACAGGCCAGCAGGTGAGTGAAGCCTGAACAAGCTCACTTCTTTCGTGGTGTCAACTTGTCAATTGCTTTTGTAATCAAAAGTCATCTTGAACCATAATTCATCTGATATGTAACTTACAAATAAAGAAAAATGAATGCCCCACATGGAAACTCTCAGAAATGAAGCACAAAAATATTCAGTACATGAGAAAAACAATGACAAAAATAAAATATAAAGGGCAAGGTAATTATATTTAGGGCTCCCTATAACCTATCCATGTTTGAAATGGTATGCTCTCAGAAATTTGCTAGAACAATCACTGAAATCTTTAAAAAGGAAACTAATAACATTATAAACAGAAAAGCACTATACTATAACTGTTGCTATTATACTAATGTAGCTTAGAAATCATAACCATCACAACTACTATTAACACTATTAATAAGATAATAACAAAACCATTTGTTTCTCTCTCACTCTCTCTCTCTCTCTTTCTTGCTAGGACAATATGAACTATGAGTGTTCCTTAGACTTTATTGACATTTCCAGTACACCTGAGAAGACTGATTCTAAAGAAAATGTTATAGCAATAGCAGTGAAATAAATATTTCATATCGATCATGAGTCAATGAAAAGTTCATTCATGGTAGACTCAACACAAGTTGTACTTTTCTCTTTTTTTTAATAATTTGTTATGCACATATTTTTCACCACATATTCCTTGAAGAACTGCCTTTTATAACGAAATGATAAAAATAAGAATGATGTGATAAAATTGTCCTAAATTTTCTTGAACATTAAATTAGGGTAAGACACTTCCATTACCTTGTTCATCATGTTCTGCCATCCTTATAACTTTTAATTATCTTTATAAATAATCATTTGATTTGGGTATACATGAAGTAGCAAAACTTAAAATTATGAAAGTAGACTTACAAAAAAGAAAAAAAAAAAAAAGAAAAAAAAAAGAAGAAAAAAAAAAATCAACACAAACTGTCAGAAGTTATCTTGCAATCTTTCACACAGGACAATAATATGCATCTTGCATTTGTTAGTCAAGCACTCGCACTAATCATAGTACATTTGGTTTATTTCAATGGCCCCAGTAAGAAAGGGGTAAAAGAGAAGACAGACTTATGTACCATGTCTGCTGACTTGGGGAGAACCCAAATATCAACCTTTTCCTTACTAAAGTTGCTACTGATAACAAGTCTCTCTCCTTTTTTTCTATTAAATTCCTATGACATAGTATGTGATTGGCAAGACATCTAACTTCCCTGTCAGTAAATATCATGATGACTTGATTGTCATATTAATTCATGTAAAAAGTTTTTTTTTTTCTCTCTCTCTCTCTCTGTCATTCAACCCACTGACTCCAGAAGTGCAAGTATACATATACCAGCCACTGTGATTTAATCTCATTAATATTGTTTAAACACAGATGGCTTCAGAAGTATTTAATCAATAAGGAGTCAACTACTAGGTCTAGAAGATCTCATATATTTACCCTATTCATTGAATTTTCTTAAGGAAAGTTTTTACTTTTATTACAATAATTATTGTTAATAACATTATCATTATTACTGTTATTATTAGTATCACTATCTTTATTATCATCCTCATCATCATTATTACTATTATCAAAATGTTTATAACAATAGTATTAGAATTAAACTTTTTAAGAAAAATTCAAGAAATGAGGTATTCAGCTAAGGTCTAGGCCTAGTAACTGACATCTTGGTAACTAAACACTTGTTGAAGCCATCTATGTGTAAACAAAACTGATAAAACAAGACTACAGTGGACAGTGTAAGCACCCAGTGCCAATGAGCTAAACAGAGTAGTTCATGGTTCAAAGCCACGTTCCAATGCTAGTTTGCTATCCACAGGACACATGGTTTAAGTTCTAGTTAAATTCAGGTCTGATGGGTGGGACTGGAAGGATTTCAAGTTTGAAAAGGTTAAGTTTTATTTAAGGACTATGTTTGAAATTGCTTTGTGTAACTTCATTCTGCCTAGCTGAGGCAAGGTACAATAAAAACAAAAGTATACATTAAAACTGGGTGACATTCTACCGAGATGAGATAAATTAGATAAAGTCTACCTAAGATATGATTCTGTGAGATTTAGGTTAGAGGTTGTTTCTATTATGTATCCGTGGATCATGGAAGAACATACAAAATCAGAGAGAGACTGGGATGGGCAAGCTAGATTTTCCAATGAGTCTGGGTTTTTTAAATCTTATGTATTCTTTGTCCTATGAATTGCAAATCAGTAATGAAATATGGGACTGTATCAAAAACCACTGCCTTTCTCAAAAGATTAAACGATATACTTACAAAATGGTTGAAGAATTACATGACAATAAACATAAAACATAATGATAAAAATAAGATAACAAAAAATAAATATATCTTGTCATGTAGTGTTATCATCAACATGGACACATATAAGAAAGTTTTTAATCCTCAATGAGCATCATATTCTACATTCCATCAAAGTGACAATGTTCACCCTTCTTAAATATTATACTCTATCTTTCTTGAGAGAATATATCATGTCACAAATGAGATGAATAGCCAGATGACTTTGTATAACACCAGTAGTATTGGCAACATCAGAACAGCGATTTATCCCTCTTGCTCTTAACATCAAAATCTTGGACATGAAAATAAAAAGTAGAAGAAAACAAGATATTTAAAACAAAAAATAGATTGTAGCAAATAAGGAAAACACTACATGAACTCCACATTTCAGATTCATCAGTGAAGGTTTGGACACAAATTCCTTCACGACACAAGGAGAAAAACCATTCTTTCTACCAAGCATCTCACTACACCTGATAGGTTTCATCACACAAATTCAACCCTGTGGACGAACAAGGTTACTCCAAAAGAGGAAGGATGTTGTATTTACAATGGTGTCTTGTAGAGCTGGTACACAAATAATGGATGATGGAGTTGATTTTGATGAATCGATGATTGAGTCAGCCAAGCATGTAAGAACTCAAGGTGAGCATTCTGGCATCTTATGGATCCTACTGTTTTTCCTACATTCCATCAAAGTGACAATGTTCACCCTTCTTAAATATTATACTCTATCTTTCTTGAGAGAATATATCATGTCACAAATGAGATGAATAGCCAGATGACTTTGTATAACACCAGTAGTATTGGCAACATCAGAACAGCGATTTATCCCTCTTGCTCTTAACATCAAAATCTTGGACATGAAAATAAAAAGTAGAAGAAAACAAGATATTTAAAACAAAAAATAGATTGTAGCAAATAAGGAAAACACTACATGAACTCCACATTTCAGATTCATCAGTGAAGGTTTGGACACAAATTCCTTCACGACACAAGGAGAAAAACCATTCTTTCTACCAAGCATCTCACTACACCTGATAGGTTTCATCACACAAAATTCAACCCTGTGGACGAACAAGGTTACTCCAAAAGAGGAAGGATGTTGTATTTACAATGGTGTCTTGTAGAGCTGGTACACAAATAATGGATGATGGAGTTGATTTTGATGAATCGATGATTGAGTCAGCCAAGCATGTAAGAACTCAAGGTGAGCATTCTGGCATCTTATGGATCCTACTGTGATTCATACTCTAGAGTGACCACCACCTTTTCCAGGAGAAAATAGCAAGGCATGCTTATCATGATCCTTGTCTTTGGTCTTGTTATTTTCTAAATTAAAAAGACATATCTTAACAGTGAACAGTTTTCCAGGGATAACTGATACAGATCCAGCTGCTGTCACCAAATGTGTTCAAAATAATATATCTTGTCATGTAGTGTTATCATCAACATGGACACATATAAGAAAGTTTTTAATCCTCAATGAGCATCATATTCTACATTCCATCAAAGTGACAATGTTCACCCTTCTTAAATATTATACTCTATCTTTCTTGAGAGAATATATCATGTCACAAATGAGATGAATAGCCAGATGACTTTGTATAACACCAGTAGTATTGGCAACATCAGAACAGCGATTTATCCCTCTTGCTCTTAACATCAAAATCTTGGACATGAAAACAAAATTCAACCCTGTGGACGAACAAGGTTTACTCCAAAAGAGGAAGGATGTTGTATTTACAATGGTGTCTTGTAGAGCTGGTACACAAATAATGGATGATGGAGTTGATTTTGATGAATCGATGATTGAGTCAGCCAAGCATGTAAGAACTCAAGGTGAGCATTCTGGCATCTTATGGATCCTACTGTGATTCATACTCTAGAGTGACCACCACCTTTTCCAGGAGAAAATAGCAAGGCATGCTTATCATGATCCTTGTCTTTGGTCTTGTTATTTTCTAAATTAAAAAGACATATCTTAACAGTGAACAGTTTTCCAGGGATAACTGATACAGATCCAGCTGCTGTCACCAAATGTGTTCAAAATAATATATCTTATAGAATAAAGCTTGACCTTCCAAACATTAAAAAGTTCTTCTGTTATCAGTCAGCTTCTCTTGGGGGGAGGAAATTGTATCTGAAATCAAAACTGACTTAGAACAGTATATCCACTTGGAAAAATCCATATTCTTTTTACCAAAATATTTATGTTTTTGAGGCACAACTTCGAAAGTTAAGTTCCAAAAGAATCTAAGCCAGACGCTGATACCACAGTTGGGGAGTGGGTTTAGCATTACACTCATAGAGGAATGATTCACAGGATGACAAGATCCAACAAGCTGTCCATCACTCAGCCATATCATGTAGGAAGTCTCTGTGTCACAAAATAATAAGTAAAGTTGTGTTTGTGGCAATAGTGGCATGACACCAATGCCCTGGTACTAACTTTGTGGCACTAACAACCATTGGTGCTACACAAACTTAGTGGCACCAGCAACCAAGAACACACCACAAGCGACGAGATATTAGGTCTGTGGCACAAGAGATCACTTCACTAAACAGCTGCGCCGTTGCTGAGGAACATGTGGGAAGTTGGAGATTCAGACTCACTCCCTGGGGATAAGAAATGTGTCTGTGAGAAGCACACAGGCAATAAATGCATTAGAAAGAGCTGCTGATCACCCTGACAGCTGCCACACCTGCTCCTCCTTCAGCATCTCTTGCTTTTGCTACTACTCTTGGTATCTGGAAAAAATCATGAGTGCAATTAGATCCAAGACAGAATTTATAGCTGGGGAAAATATATTGTTCTTATCATTTAACAGGTTATATACACATTCAAGATATTCATGAGCCGGAAGACCCAAATCTGCCAAACTAAAGCAACAAATAAGGAAAAAGGATTTAACTCAGAGCATATTAAATTGACATATGATACTAGACATATACTTGATCAGTTAAAAGCACTAAATACACTATTTTCACAATAATAGGTACCTTAAATAAAGTCACCATTCAGTCAATAAAAAATTCAAACATACACCCAAACACACACAAACAAAAGATACATCTATGATATACCTATGTGCACACACACACGCAGATGCACAAACACACACACGCAGACGCACGCAAATATGCATAACACTTACATTTTACCTCTTTACTTGAAATAAGCTGTAATGAAATGATATTCTCTGCACAAAAAGAAAGAAAGAAAGAAAAATTCTTTCTTGCTCAATCTTGACTCTACTGGTAGATTAAAATAGAAATATTGGTAAAGAAAAAAAATGAAAGCAAAGACAGTAAAACACTGGTGCTGGTGTCTCTCATGATCATTAGCATTTAATTCAAGTGGGAGTATAAAACCAGTAAAATATATAGAAATATAGAAAATCAATATCTCCCTTGGAGCTAGTTCCTTGTCACTCATTTGGGAAGTATGCTATTCTTCAGCAACTATATCATAAACTGAGCATTTGAAATATATTTCAATATATCAAAATCTAACAGTCTACTTTACCATCATATTTAGTTAAACTAATGGAGTAAAGGCGGAATGTGACATGGGGGGGGGGGGGGGTCAGAGGAACGAGGGCTTTTGCACGAGAGGAGGCACGGCTTCTGTGGCTGCAGAACAATGCGTCATAAATGTGTTGCACTTAGGATAAACAGCCCCCACTAAGCCAGAGAGAAGCCAAGTTTGTGCTATAATGCACTGTTGATTCTTTCTGTGTGTATTATGTTTATTACAGGTGATAAGAAGTACCATAGAAAGTCTAATACCACACAGAAACAACATATGGAAGCAAATTCACAAACTCTGTGACTCTGGCACTCCTTTGTGAATAATAGTTTAAACATTCTGATAATAAACAAATTTTGTCTGTTTATTCAATGAAAATCTGAAATCAATTGGATTTACTTTGAACTAAAGAGGTATTGTATTTTTTATATTAACTGCTCAAGAAGCCTACATATCATAAAAAATGTGAAGTATTTAAATAGTAATAAGGGAATCTTTACTGAAGACTATTTAGCTTGATATTATGTATATGTCAGCCTATATGACATGGCAACATGATCTATAAGGAAATTTAACAAAACTCTTCCCTCCTCCCTTTCATCTGTGAAAATATCAAATAACTAACGTTTACAACCATAAAATAAACAAAAAAAATTAAATAAGTATTGTTCTGTAGAACATTAGGGTGCCACAACATTCCTAATTTTTTTTTGTATGGAAAAAATGGACAATGAAAATGGTTTTGTCTAGACATTATTAAACCTTTATTTCAAACATTATTCTTAATTGACCTTTTTTCGTATTCTTTTGGCAAGTGTCACATCCCGCCTTAAAGTTTAAAATGAGAAAAGTTGATTTTAATGTAAACAATACACTAATGTGATATTCCTTTTCTTTATAGTCACCATTCTTTGCATTATCAAATTTCCTAAAAAAAAATAAGAAGTAACATAATACTGCAAAATGTTATACAGTAAGGTCAAACAAAAATATTTTCCTGAGCATTAGAGATGTACCATTAGCAGTGGCTTTTGTGCCATTCTGTGCTGCTGCAGATCCCCTGTACTGCGGCGCTGGTCCCCATATCCTCACAGTGGCATCATCTGACACGGATGCAATCATCGCAGGGTATCTGGGATTCCAGGTGACACAGTTGACAGTTCGGGTGTGGCCGCCAAGGGTGACTACAGGCAGTTCTCGCCGATGGTGCCAGATATATACTTTGTTATCTGGAATGAGATGCATTTATATCTATATGTGTCTCAAATAGTTCAAGTATTCATCAAAATTTTCTTTTCAATTTCTATAAAAGTTCTAAGTATTAAGATATAAAGTCAGTACACTTGACAACATATAACTGACAATTACTTGATTGCACTTTAGTTTATCTGTTACACTCCCTAGTCCACCAAAATAAATATGATTATTTGAGGAAAACATTATCATTCTCTAAATGCCATGGTAGCTGAAATATATCCTCTAAAAACCTAAAAGTACTATGCATGTCTTCTCTACATAGAAGTTCCCATATGATTAAACAAGTCATATGAATACATATAACCTACTGATGCTGGGTACATGAACTATTCACTGTAATTTTCTGTTTCTGAATTCTGTGTCTGTCTGTTATATTTTATTATTTTCTCTTAACCCGATACTGCTGTACACCAAAGCGTCGTTGCCATTAATCTCCAGAGTACTGAATTTCTATCTATTTTCTTCACTCATCAGTGTTGGGTAAATCAATTAATAATCTTTTTTAATGATATCAACATTGATGTTATCATATTCATAGACATTATGATTATCACAATGTTATCAACAATACTAATAGCTATATAAGATAAAAGAGAATTATTCAAGGAAAAGGGTAAACAGGTTGAGATAGCCAAAGTAAGAATAGTAGTTGATTCCTTGGTGATTAAGTACATTAGGAGTTATCAACCCAATGCCGACAGGTATGGCATATATGTACATGCCATGCTCACTGTGAGTTTACTTTATTAATTTTTTTTTACAATAGATAGCTACATTTGTACTAAGTCACCAACGAGCCAATTACGAGTACTGCTTGTCTCACCCGTTCACCCTTTTCTTTCATTAACGAAAATATTTTATGTTATCTTATTTTGCTGTTACTAATATTTATAAAATTATAGTAATTATAATGTTTATTAAAAAAATAACACTACTGATATTCATACCATTCATAAATAATATGTTTTTCCTGCCAATTCAAGGAGAGGTGAAATTAGGTAACCTTACAAAGTCTACTAATTGACTTCTTTGTGTCTAAGCACTAGAAGAGCCATTTATGTGCAGAGACATTTCACAAAAAAATAATAATTAAGCATTTTCTCTGGCAGCATATGGTTAAAGTGTACAGGAAATTAATAAACAAAACAACACAATGGACATGGCTTGTATTTTTGCAATCCCAGCAAAAAGTCTAGCACTCCTTACCTTCACTCCCAGAAGCAACAAAGTCTTGGTTATCTCCACCGAAGCAAGAATGGATGGTATAGTGGCCCTGGGTGAGTCCTCTGAACTTGCGCACCAAAGTTCTATTTCGTAAGTCCCATAAATGGACACCTTGGTTGGCCACGTTTAACAAGGCATACTGGCCGGTATTGTCAAGGGTAAATGACATTATGCTGTGGTCCTCCTGAATACTGTTATAGAAGAAAAAGTATTGATATTTACAATATCAACAAAAGGGTAACATAAATATATCAAGTTGAATTTGTTTCTCATTATTCAAATCTTCCAACTCTAAATTTGAAAATTAAATTGTGAAAGAGGTTAAAAAATGGGGAAGAGGGTGATCTACTACTGGCAAAAACTGTACAACTTTACTTACATATTATGGTCCTGCACCTCATCAAAATGATAACCCCTGATGCGGTGATGTGTGTCTGATGCTAAGACAGTCTTCCCATCATTTTGTATAGCTAAACACTGAACTCTGACTCCTTCCCAGGAGTCTAAAATGTGTCCCTCCAAGTTACAATGGTAGAACTGTCCCCTCATGCCTCCACAGACAAACTTTCGGGAATCCTAAAAAAAAATATGAAACAACAATAAACAAAATAAAAAAAAACTACTCAGTGATTCAATAATATTTTGATTTTCCTTCCAGTATAAAAAGAATATGCATAAACATTAAAACAATGAATGACTTACCTTGTGCCATGCTGCACAAGTAAGGGAATCATCAGGAGAGTTTGACACTTTACATATCTGTTCCCCTCGTTCAGTATCCCAGACCTGTGAAAATATGAAATCTCTCAGAACTCACATATATTGATACTGTCATTATATGTTATATATGAGTGAGTGAGTGGGAGAGAGAGAGAGAGAGGGGGGGGGGAGAGATAGAAAGAGGAGGAGAGAGGGAGGGAGGGAGGGAGGGAGGGAGGGAGGGAGGGAGGGAGGGAGAGAGGGAGAGGGAGGGAGAGAGGGAGAGGGAGAGGGAGAGGGAGAGAGAGGGAGAGAGAGAGAGAGAGAGAGAGAGAGAGAGAGAGAGAGAGAGAGAGAGAGAGAGAGAGAGAGAGAGAGAGAGAGAGAGAGAGAGAGAGAGAGAGAGAGAGAGAGAGGGAGAGAGGGAGAGAGGGAGAGAGGGAGAGAGGGAGAGAGGGAGGGAGAGGGGGGGGAGAGAGAGAGGGGGGGAGAGAGAGAGAGAGAGAGAGAGAGAGAGAGAGGAGAGAGAGAGAGAGAGAGAGAGAGAGAGAGAGAGAGAGAGAGAGAGAGGGAGAGGGAGAGGGAGAGGGAGAGGGAGAGAGGGAGTGAGGGAGAGGGGGAGTGAGGGAGAGAGGGAGAGAGGGAGAGAGGGAGGGAGAGAGGGAGAGAGGGAGGGAGGGAGGGAGGGAGGGAGGGAGGGAGGGAGGGAGGGAGAGAGAGAGAGAGAGAGAGAGAGAGAGAGAGAGAGAGAGAGAGAGAGAGAGAGAGAGAGAGAGAGAGAGAGAGAGAGAGAGAGAGAGAAAGAGAGAGAGAGAGAGAGAGAGAGAGAGAGAGAGAGAGAGAGAGAGAGAGAGAGAGAGAGAGAGAGAGAGAGAGAGAGAGAAAGAGAAAGGAGGGAGGGTGGGAGGGAGATAATAAAAAAATAAAAACTACATACCACAAGTTCAGCAGCCTCTTCTTGTAAACATACAATGAGCTTAGTACTGTCTGGACTCCAGGCAAGGTACACCACACCATAGGAGTGTCCATCTAAGGTGAAGCGACGAGTGACAGTTAACGTTTCCTGTATTGAATATAAATTTACGTCAGTTGCGTAAATATCGGGCAATATTCATGATTTGTCAAAGAATTTTCCCTACAAATTTAGGGACCATCCTAAAAACAGTCCCTCACTTAAAGATAAACAATTTGTCTATGGCTGTCATTTGTGACATGATCCCTAACATGCACTGTTGCCATATTTCAGAGTTTGCACATATCTAAAGCTAATATTCACATAATAATAAAATAACTATCCAATGACAATATCATCACGAATTCAATAAATCTTATAATTGCAAGTCGCACATCCTGTCAGCTATGAAGGCATGTAGTACCATTTGTATTTGTCAAATGGAAAACTGCAACAAACTGAGCGGAAATGTCTCAATTAACGTCTGATAATAATCAAAATTATCTTCAACAAATGTAAAATCACATTATTATTGTCCAGGTTTCATAAGGACTATTCATATACAGTCCTTAAGAGTATGGGACACCTCCAGACTCTTATTAAGCTTCAGTTTGAGACACAGAAAGAACCATGTGTCAAAGCCATTTTCATAGAGTCATAATCAAGGTTGTGAAGGTAACAACTTTTTTTCTGTCATACACAAATCTCAGTTTAGGACCTTTTGTAAACACTGCCCCATGATCTTAACCCAAAGCCTCCAGGCTGGCTAAAATGCCAATAGGGCTAGATTTTGGGGCAGCTTGTTAAAAAAAATGTGCTGAACACAACATGTGGGCAACCAGTATGTAAGTGCATCAAAAAAGTTCTGGTTTATAGGTCTGATATAGGTACGCATAAAAACATTAGGCCTTAGTGGTATTTTTCTGCCTAAATTCCCAATGAAAGTATACAGCCACTATTATAAACTCTGACTGGACTGAGATAGTACGAAACTCAGTAAGCTAGTAATTTTTTACTTTTTATGAGATACAGATAAAAAGATAAAGAAAATATATATCAATAAACTTGAATAAACATTTACAGCTGGGGAGATAGGAAGATAAGTTACCAGATTATAAGGGGATGATTTCTTATTAAAAACTCACAGGATCAACATCCCAAATGATGACTGTAGAGTCTTTGGACCCGGTAGCCAATTTAGTTCCATCTGGACTGAAGCGAGCAATCCAAACTTCATCACAGTGGTCAGACAGAATCTGGACGGTGGTTCCAGGGAAGGCAAGACGAGGACATGAGTGATCCATCAGTAAGGAACCACCAGATCCAAGCACCTGTTAAAGAAGATGTAATCTTTATTTGTGTACAAACAATACTATTACAGACATGTATACTGTATGTTTGATCTAAATGAACCTGCAAAAGACTCTCTTTCAGAGTAGCCCAACTTTAGATTTTAAAATATCCTAAGGGAATCAAGACATAAAACTTTTCTGAATTACACACTAGAGTACAAAGAATGTAGTGTTTAATCTCTAACATGAGACCCATACAGTTAATCATAATC